TTCAATGGGACATCATCTCTGAGGTCACCGCGTCTCTAAGTAGTCAAGTCAAGTCAAGTCAAGTCATCATCATTTATATAGCGCTTTTAACAATGGAGATTGTTTCAAAGCAGCTTTACAGAGATAAACATACAATTTACGGTAACAGAGATTGTTTTGGCTTTATAGCGATTTTTGAATAATGTTATTTCCAGCTAAAGTTAGTTTTGATTGATTCACTTCCAGCAAAATTATCATTTGTTATTACATTAGGGGCCACTAAGACGACGGCGTTCTCTCTAAACAGACTTTAAACGCGAACCTGTGACCTGATGGCGTTCACATGCGTTCACATGCGCATTAAAAATTGATTCTATAGTTATATTCGTTTGAATATATGTGCGCAGGTTTGTAATTTCCCTACAAACCATCCCTAAACAAACTACTTGTCTTGCCTATACATTTGATAAAGAATTTTGTTTTATTTTATCACTTCGGGGTACGCGAACCGGATTTTCAACAACGCTTTATCTGTAGAGTGGGAAAGGGATCCTCCATAGGGAGAGGATAGTTGACACTTCAGCACTGCATTGTCATCGGGTCCAGGCGAATCTCCTTCATCCTGCTCCACCAGAGTGTCCCGCCGACCGTCTCTTCGTTCCACCCGGACTCCAGCACCGGGTGCTTCAGTGGGTTCACTGCACCCCCAGCGCAGGTCATCCTGGTATTGCGGCTACCATACAGTTAGTTACCAATCGCTTTTGGTGGGTTTCTCTCCAGTCGGATGTCATAAAGTTTGTTCACCAATGCTCTGTTTGTAACCCATCTCAAGCCCGCTGGTCTGTTACAACCTCTGCCAGTACCTCAGCATCCCGGGTCGCATATCGCAGTGGATTTCGTTACGGATCTACCCCCATCACAGGAGTTTACTACTATCCTCTCCGTGGTGGATCGCTTCTCTAAGTCCTGCCGTTTCATACCCCTGACCGGCCTGCCCATGGCCTTACAAACAGCCGAGGCTCTTCTCAATCAGGTTTTTCGGCTCTTTGGTTTGCCCGAGGACATTGTCACTGACCGTGGTCCCCAGTTTACCTCCCGTGTCTGGAGAGAGTTGTGTTCCAAACTCAATATCAATGTCACGGAGCGCTCAGCGACGCCTCCACCTGGTTGCAACAGATCTCTCTCTCCTGCGTACTAGGACTGCATTTCCCATTATCCTTCCCTGCTCATCATCTCCTTATTATCCCCTCATCATTGCATTAGTATCACCTGTGCCCCATCAGCTCCCCTTTATCTGGACTGTTCTGTTCATTGTAATTTTGTTAAGTCTTGATTTACCCTCACTCTAGCTCTGGCCAGTTTTCTCGTGCTTGCTTGTATATTTTGACTTGGACTCTGAACTCGTTTGTGAACCTCAGCTGCCAGCCCTGACCTTTGCTTGTTTAAACTACGATTCTTGGATTGCCCTTATCTGTGAGCTGTTTTTGAGTTTTGTCTGCTGTTCTATGCTGGCTCACCTGTATCAATAAGTTACTGCAGATGGATTTAAACGCCACAGCCTCTTTGTCACAGTAAGACAGTATATCGTGGATATTTTAGCATCTTATTTCAAATAAAATTAACTATTATTCACTATTTTATGCTTTATTTATCTGTGTAAAGTTGTATTTCACGGTGTATTAGATTAAAATACTTATAGTCAATTTAATAGCTTGTTTCATATAATATGAACTATTATTCACTATTTATCTATGTACGGCAGTATTTGCTCGTCCTGATTTTGCCAAGTGGGAGCTGTCCTGAGACCAATATCTTTATGATGACCCTGGGACAACAACTGCCTCAGCCAATCAACGTTTATGATGTCATCACCGTGTGCCCCCCGTCGAGTCCGCCAAATTAAAAAAACAAAACAAAAAAAACACACCCCTGCCAACAAGTGCACAAGTTACAAGGTAAGACCAACGGCTTTTTACATTCTCCTATTAATTAACAGCAGTCTTTTACTACGACTAAACATATTTGTTTTTTGAATAACGTTAGCATTTTTCCACCATTGAAGTAATATAACGCTATAACGCATATGTTGACGTGCTTAACAGTAAAATTGCCAGGCAAAATTGATCAGCATCGCTGACGTTCTGGCTCAAAAAATAAAAACAATAGAAGATGAAAATACTGTTTAGATGTTTAACGTATAGTTTTTATAGTGTGCCTAGTTACAAAAAAAAAGACGACTCAGGGAGAAACGTTTGAATTAGCTTATTTCTGATGTTGTCCTCAGACCATCATATTAATATGTTAACCTCAAGTCATCACTGATTTATTCTGTTACATGATGTTGTCCTTAGACCATCATATTAATATGTTAACCTCAAGTCATCACTGATTTATTCTGTTACATGATGTTGTCCTCAGACCATCATATTAATATGTTAACCTCAAGTCATCACTGATTTATTCTGTTACATGATGTTGTCCTCAGACCATTATATTAATATGTTAACCTCAAGTCATCACTGATTTATTCTGTTACATGATGTTGTCCTTAGACCATCATATTAATATGTTGACCTCAAGTCATCACTGATTTATTCTGTTACATGATGTTGTCCTCAGACCATCATATTAATATGTTAACCTCAAGTCGTCTCTGATTTATTCTGTTACATGATGTTGTCCTCAGACCATCATATGAATATGTTAACCTCAAGTCATCACTGATTTATTGTTACATGATGTTGTCCTCAGACCATCATATTAATATGTTAACCTCAAGTCATCACTGATTTATTCTGTTACATGATGTTGTCCTCAGACCATCATATTAATATGTTAACCTCAAGTCATCACTGATTTATTCTGTTACATGATGTTGTCCTCAGACCATCATATGAATATGTTAACCTCAAGTCATCACTGATTTATTCTGTTACATGATGTTGTCCTCAGACCATCATATTAATATGTTAACCTCAAGTCATCACTGATTTATTGTTACATGATGTTGTCCTCAGACCATCATATTAATATGTTAACCTCAAGTCATCACTGATTTATTCTGTTACATGATGTTGTCCTCAGACCATCATATTAATATGTTAACCTCAAGTCATCACTGATTTATTCTGTTACATGATGTTGTCCTCAGACCATCATATTAATATGTTAACCTCAAGTCATCACTGATTTATTCTGTTACATGATGTTGTCCTCAGACCATCATATTAATATGTTAACCTCAAGTCATCACTGATTTATTCTGTTACATGATGTTGTCCTCAGACCATCATATTAATATGTTAACCTCAAGTCATCACTGATTTATTGTTACATGATGTTGTCCTCAGACCATCATATTAATATGTTAACCTCAAGTTATCACTGATTTATTGTTACATGATGTTGTCCTCAGACCATCATATGAATATGTTAACCTCAAGTCATCACTGATTTATTGTTACATGATGTTGTCCTCAGACCATCATATTAATATGTTAACCTCAAGTCATCACTGATTTATTCTGTTACATGATGTTGTCCTCAGACCATCATATTAATATGTTAACCTCAAGTCATCACTGATTTATTCTGTTACATGATGTTGTCCTCAGACCATCATATTAATATGTTAACCTCAAGTCATCACTGATTTATTCTGTTACATGATGTTGTCCTTAGACCATCATATTAATATGTTGACCTCAAGTCATCACTGATTTATTCTGTAACATGATGTTGTCCTCAGACCATCATATTAATATGTTAACCTCAAGTCGTCTCTGATTTATTCTGTTACATGATGTTGTCCTCAGACCATCATATTAATATGTTAACCTCAAGTCATCACTGATTTATTCTGTTACATGATGTTGTCCTCAGACCATCATATTAATATGTTAACCTCAAGTCATCACTGATTTATTCTGTTACATGATGTTGTCCTCAGACCATCATATTAATATGTTAACCTCAAGTCATCACTGATTTATTCTGTTACATGATGTTGTCCTCAGACCATCATATTAATATGTTAACCTCAAGTCATCACTGATTTATTCTGTTACATGATGTTGTCCTCAGACCATCATATTAATATGTTAACCTCAAGTCATCACTGATTTATTCTGTTACATGATGTTGTCCTCAGACCATCATATGAATATGTTAACCTCAAGTCATCACTGATTTATTCTGTTACATGATGTTGTCCTCAGACCATCATATTAATATGTTAACCTCAAGTTATCACTGATTTATTCTGTTACATGATGTTGTCCTCAGACCATCATATGAATATGTTAACCTCAAGTCATCACTGATTTATTCTGTTACATGATGTTGTCCTCAGACCATCATATTAATATGTTAACCTCAAGTCATCACTGATTTATTCTGTTACATGATGTTGTCCTCAGACCATCATATTAATATGTTAACCTCAAGTCATCACTGATTTATTCTGTTACATGATGTTGTCCTCAGACCATCATATGAATATGTTAACCTCAAGTCATCACTGATTTATTCTGTTACATGATGTTGTCCTCAGACCATCATATTAATATGTTAACCTCAAGTTATCACTGATTTATTCTGTTACATGATGTTGTCCTCAGACCATCATATGAATATGTTAACCTCAAGTCATCACTGATTTATTCTGTTACATGATGTTGTCCTCAGACCATCATATTAATATGTTAACCTCAAGTCATCACTGATTTATTCTGTTACATGATGTTGTCCTCAGACCATCATATTAATATGTTAACCTCAAGTCATCACTGATTTATTCTGTTACATGATGTTGTCCTCAGACCATCATATGAATATGTTAACCTCAAGTCATCACTGATTTATTCTGTTACATGATGTTGTCCTCAGACCATCATATTAATATGTTAACCTCAAGTTATCACTGATTTATTCTGTTACATGATGTTGTCCTCAGACCATCATATTAATATGTTGACCTCAAGTCGTCTCTGATTTATTCTGTTACATGATGTTGTCCTCAGACCATCATATTAATATGTTACCCTCAAGTTAACGCTCCAGATCAATAAAATATAATAAAATGTGCTCCATCTATTGCTTCCCTGATGATATAACCTCACAGTAGACCTATCTGTAAAATAATCATATTTATAATAAGTCTTTATCATTGCTTCTGTATTTAGACTAAAGGACACCAAGTGGCAATAACAGCACACAATGGAAGGTATGTTTTTTTTATTTTTATTTTTTTACCTTATTTGATGTAATTAAACCATGTTTAATTTTTAACGTTTTCAAATCTAACACAATGTATACCTTGCTGGCGGTTGGGGGAGAGGCTGCTTCTTTGGAAGCTACAAGAGAAGCAACTTCTCACAGCATGTTGTTATAAACATACATTTGCAATGTTATCAGATGGGCATTTTAAATTTTATTGATTTGACAATAAAACATTGAATTTTTATTGATTTATTTGATTTATATACAATTTTATTGTTAATGAAAGCCCAATGTGCTTTGCAAAATGTGGCATCTATTCATTATTTTTCATCTTTGTAGATGATAAAGCATTAAGGTGTCTCCAAAATAAAAGGCCAAAGTTCACCATAGGAAGTGTGGGGCCATACAATCTACAAGTGGAAAGTTTTAAAACTTTAATGGAGGACAACGAGGTTTCTGACGAGGTAACTTAATATCCTTATAGTAAGCTATGTAAATTCTTACACTTTAAAACAAACAACCATGGCCTCTGACTAGCATTTAGCCTTCAAATTTGTTTTGAAGTTCTGCATGGGTTTCACAAAGACTTTTTTTTTTTTTCTAGTCAGATGCTGAAAAACACTGAAATACATATAAACAAACTGGGAATGCATAGAAATAAATAGCATGCTTTGTGTATTAGCTCTTGTCTAGCACCAAAACATGCCTCTGACATCTGGGCATTTTGTACCTTAAAAGTCCAGTCTAGAACAGGAACTGATGATAAATGACTTACAACATTTCTATTTGACTCAAAACATAGAGCAGTTGAAATATTTTACCTCACATTTTTCCTTTAAACTTTCAGGTCATGGATTCCATATGTAATGTCCTTAGCAAGGTAAGTGTAATTTTAGCAGCAATAATTTGAATCATATTGTACAGTATATAATTGATTTGAAACATATTTATTTTTTCAACTCTGTTAAAAAGGAAAATATTTTATTCCTCTACCTTAAATCAGGATCACCCAGGGGTTGTGCATGTAAATTCTCAGGCACTCACAAAAATTCTGGACGGATCAAAAAGGGCAAAGAGCCATTATTTTCTCAAGGTAAGGAAGATTAAATGATTTGTCACTGATCTGCATTTTTTTGTTAGGTATTATGTTAATGAATAGCTGCTACTAGGTTTCAGTAAGCTTAATTAAACAGCAATCAGATTCTAGATGATTGTCATATGCACTAGGTTCCTTTGATTATATTGATTTCTCTGAATTACAGAATAACATTTTTAAAGGGACAACAGAGATGTTTGGCGCTTATCTCGAGGGTGGCAATCACTGGAGCTTTTTTGTGAGTCAAACCTTTTTAAAGGATAAATCATTTTCACATGTGGATTCCAATTTATTTCTGTCTTTATACAAAAATCTTACTTATCTGCCAATCACCACTTCCAAATGTTTCTATTTTATGTAACAATGTGTCTTAAACACCACAAAACCCATGAAAGTTAACAAATCTGATTAAAATGTTATGCTAGCATCATAAGTATGTTAAGATTAACATATTACAACTTTAAGGCAAAATACAAAAAACTATTTTTATTACATGCTCAAATTATGAATAAAAAAGATTGACACCGTGATGAGCTGCATCTCACATGAGTCTTTTTTTTTCATGTCCCTGGAATGCCTAGTTATTAAAAGTACTCCAAACTTCCACCTCTAGAGAGTCAGTATCATGTATTCTGGTGCAATTTTCTGCGGTGTTGGACCATGGAACTTGGAGCATGTCAGGGCCAGAAGGCAGAGTGAATGGTATTGCAATAAGTGTCTTATGGTCTTATTATAACTTCAAATATTTCTGTTTTAGCATTGCAATGTTGACAGAAGGTGCATCACCTACTTCAACTCCTTTGGAGAGACAGAGTGGCAGTGCCAAGCAATTGCTCAACACTGGAGGTAGGTATTTATTGTTTTGTTTACTATAGTGATATCAGTCATCTAATGGGCTAAAATCTACTACAAGGGCCAAATTATGTAAAATGGCAGTACCTACCCACTGTTGCCTCATTAAGTCCTTTTACAGCTGATCGATTTCTCATGGTCTCCTAATCATCTCCATATATATATATATATATATATATATATATACAGTAATTGGCTTCATCACTCTGTCTCCTCACCACCAATATGCTGGTTGGTGTGTGGTGGGCGTTCTGGCGCAGTATGGCTGCCGTCGCATCATCCAGGTTGTGCTGCACATTGGTGAAGGTTGAGGAGATTCCCCCCTTCCATTTAAAGCACTTTGAGTGCAGAGAAAAGCGCTATATAAATGTAATGCATTATTATTAACACTGTTGCCTCATTAAGTACTTTTACAGCTGATCGATTTCTAACCAACTGCCTCACAACTCGCACTATTTACAGTATACAGACCCACTCTAGCACAGTCATGCTTACATGACTAGCATAAGTACTCCTCTCTGTAGCTTTGTTACGAGGAAGCAACAAATGAAATACAGTTTTGACTGACATGGGTATGAGTAGATGATTACAAAATATTTATTTTAAAATTAACTGTTGGAGTTGGATGTTAGTGGTGATTGTGATTTTGTTAATTACAGTGCATTCGCAGCTTCAAGGGGAGTGAAAGGAGAGTGGAACATTAAAACCACAAAACACAATTTGCAAACTGATTCCGTGTCATGTGGTATCCACACACTTGCAGTAAGTTAATTATGTTACCCAGTGTAAATCACTGCAGGCATGTGTCAACCAATTGAATTTAAGCCTTTTATCATATATAATCTACCCATGTACATTGTTATATTAAAGCGCAAATACTTGTCTGATTATGTATTTAGTGACAAATATCCTTTTTTTTCTCGTCAAAAAACTTTTGCCTTCCTTCAAGTTTGCCACTGAATTCATGAAGTCTGGTGGCTGCATTACCTCCTTCCAGTGCCCTGCAATACAACAAGAGAGAATGCGCCTGGCCTCACTTTTGTTTCAGTCTTTAGGTATGTGCCTTATTGATTGAAATGTTATTAATAGGTATAAATATATATTTAAAGTTCAGAATTTTGGGCCCTTGCCATATTTCTATGTTGTTGAATGATACTGGAGATAAGTATCATGTCACTCGTCTCCTTTGTTAGTCAAAAAAGTAAAGTAACAGGCCGCTATATATATATATATATATATATATATATATTAGATGTATAGATTAAAAAATATTAATTAATCCATAAACCAAAGTGCATGGGTGCACAGTGAAGTAATTTTCAGAGCTTTTTGTACTGGCTTAAAAAGTCAAATTATGTTTGTTTTATGGTTAGGTAGAACAGCATTAATTTTTAATTTTAAAATATTTACCATTTTTTTCTTTTCATCAGTCCATGAAACTGGAAATGGGGCAAGTGGTCAAAAATGAGAATATTTACCTTTAATAAGCAAAAAAGAAAAAAAGACAAGTATATATTTATAAATATATATATCCTGTATTTACAGATCGAACAAAAAAATGTGGAATTTGTGCCAAAAATGTTTCAGGGAGAAAGACAGTAAGTGCGGTTTTCACATATGAAAGTGATATTCTGCATATCTTATTCAAGCATAATCAATCATTATAATTTACATGTCAATACACACACAAAATGCATACAGACCATACACTCACATGCATGTCCATGAGAACTCATATTAGGAATGGAAACTTTTCAGATATAGTATACCATAATCTCTGTACCTGACATGTATATAATAATTTACCAACCTGTTATGTATATGTGGTTCACACCCCTATTCTATATGCGATTTTTCTCTTTGTTTTGTTTTAACAGGAGTCATGTACCTGTGGGGCAGTGATGCATGTAGAGTGTGCAGCCACACACATGTGCTACATTTGTCAAGGTAAAAGAGAATATCGCAGAAGTCATGTAATAACAAAATGGAATCTACTACTACCTGACCCTGTACTAATGTTTATGATCACTCACTCACTCAAACACTCACTCCCTCAATCACTCACTCAAACACTCACTCCCTCACTCACTCACTCAAACAAACACTCAATCACTCACTCAAACACTCACTCCCTCACTCACTCACTCAAACAAACACTCAATCACTCACTCAAACGAACACTCAATCACTCACTCAAACAAACACTCAATCACTCAGTCAGTCAAACACTCTCACTCTCTCAAACAAACACTCACTCACTCAAATACTCACTCAAACACTCACTCAAACACTCACTCAAACACTCACTCAATCACCCAAACACTCACTCAAACACTCACTCAAACACTCACTCAAACACTCACTCACTCATTCAAACACTCACTCACTCACTCACTCACTCACTCACTCAAACACTCACTCACTCACTCACTCACTCACTCATTCAAACACTCACTCACTCAATCACTCACTCAAACAAACACTCAATCACTCACTCAAACAAACACTCAATCACTCACTCACTCACTCAAACACTCACTCACTCACTCACTCAAACACTCACTCACTCAGTCACTCACTCACTCAAACACTCACTCACTCACTCTCACTCACTCACTCACTCACTCACTCACTCACTCAAACACACTCACTCACTCACTCACTCACTCACTCAAACACACTCACTCACTCACTCACTCACTCACTCACTCACTCACTCACTCACTCACTCACTCACTCAAACAAACAAACACTCACTCACTCACTCACTCACTCACTCAAACACACTCACTCACTCTCACTCACTCACTCACTCACTCACTCACTCACTCACTCAAACAAACACTCACTCACTCAAATACTCACTCAAACACTCAATCAAACACTCACTCACTAACTCAAACACTCACTCAATCACTCACTCACTCACTCAATCACTCACTCACTCAAACACTCACTCACTCAAACACTCACTCACTCAAACACTCACTCATTCAAACACTCACTCACTCAAACACTCACTCACTCAAACACTCACTCACTCACTCACTCAAACACTCACTCACTCAAACACTCACTCATTCAAACACTCACTCACTCACTCAAACACTCACTCACTCACTCACTCAAACACTCACTCAAACACTCACTCACTCACTCACTCAAACACTCACTCACTCACTCAAACACTCACTCACTCAAACACTCACTAACTCACTCACTCAAACACTCACTCACTCAAACACTCACTCACTCACTCAAACACTCACTCACTCAAACACTCACTCACTCACTCACTCAAACACTCACTCACTCAAATACTCACTCAAACACTCAATCAAACACTTACTCACTCACTAACTCACTCAAACACTCACTCACTCAAAGACTCACTCAATCACTCACTCACTCACTCACTCACTCACTCACTCACTCACTCACTCAAACACTCACTCATTCAAACACTCACTCACTCAAACACTCACTCACTCAAACACTCACTCACTCACTCACTCAAACACTCACTCACTCAAACACTCACTCATTCAAACACTCACTCACTCACTCAAACACTCACTCACTCACTCACTCAAACACTCACTCAAACACTCACTCACTCACTCACTCAAACACTCACTCACTCACTCACTCAAACACTCACTCACTCAAACACTCACTAACTCACTCACTCAAACACTCACTCACTCAAACACTCACTCAAACACTCACTCACTCAAACACTCACTCACTCACTCACTCAAACACTCACTCACTCAAACACTCACTCACTCACTCACTCACTCAAACACTCACTCACTCACTCACTCACTCACTCACTCACTCACTCAAACACTCACTCACTCACTCACTCAAACACTAATACACTCACTCAAACACTCAATCACTCACTCACTCAAACACTCAATCACTCACTCACTCACTCACACACACTCACTCACTCAAACACTCACTCACTCACACACACACACACACTCACTCACTCACTCACTCACTCACTCACTCACTCACTCACTCACTCAAACACTCACTCACTCACTCAAACACTCACTCACTCACTCACTCACTCACTCACTCACTCACTCAAACACTCACTCACTCACTCACTCACTCAAACACTCACTCAAACACTCACTCACTCAAACACTCACTCCCTCACTCTCACTCACTCAAACACTCACTCACTCACTCACTCACTCACTCACTCACTCACTCACTCACACACTCACTCAAACACTCATACACTCACTCACTCAAACACTCACTCACTCACTCAAACACTCACTCACTCACTCAAACACTCACTCACTCACTCACTCAAACACTCACTCACTCACTCAGTCACTCACTAACTCAGTCACTCACTAACTCAGTCACTCAAACACTCACTCACTCACTCACTCAAACACTAATACACTCACTCAAACACTCAATCACTCACTCACTCAAACACTCAATCACTCACTCACTCACTCACTCACACACACTCACTCACTCAAACACTCACTCACTCACACACACACACTCACTCACTCACTCACTCACTCACTCACTCACTCACTCACTCAAACACTCACTCACTCACTCAAACACTCACTCACTCACTCACTCACTCACTCACTCACTCACTCACTCACTCAAACACTCACTCACTCACTCACTCAAACACTCACTCAAACACTCACTCACTCAAACACTCACTCCCTCACTCTCACTCACTCACTCACTCACTCACTCACTCACTCACTCACACACTCACTCAAACACTCATACACTCACTCACTCAAACACTCACTCACTCACTCAAACACTCACTCACTCACTCACTCAAACACTCACTCACTCAAACACTCACTCAGTCACTCACTAACTCAGTCACTCACTAACTCAGTCACTCACTAACTCAGTCACTCACTCACTCACTCACTCACTCACTCACTCACTCAAACACTCACTCACTCACTCAAACACTCAATCACTCACTCAAACAAACACTCAATCACTCAGTCAGTCAAACACTCAATCACTCAGTCAGTCAAACACTCTCACTCACTCAAACACTCACTCACTCAAATACTCACTCAAACACTCAATCAAACACTTACTCACTCACTAACTCACTCAAACACTCACTCACTCAAAGACTCACTCAATCACTCACTCACTCACTCACTCACTCACTCACTCACTCACTCACTCACTCACTCAAACACTCACTCACTCACTCAAACACTCACTCACTCACTCACTCACTCACTCAAACACTCACTCACTATAAAAAGGTATCTTTTAGATAATTTCACACTTTTATATCTTGTTTCTTTTTACACAGCTGACCCAGACCTGTTAGGCCAACCCTCTGGATCCGCAGAAGGCTTTGTACTACAACAGGGTAACGAATTCAAATTTTTACATGCTTTCTGACTTAACTGAACCTTGGCTGTATCTCATTTACACTACTAAATTGTTAGATTTTGCTGCATTTGGCCGAGCAGTGGTTTGGGTGGCTCGCCAATGTATTAGATTTCTCCAATACATAAAATAAGTAAGCTTGACCAGAGTTCTTGTAGGGAGAATTTATTGAAGGTTTGTAGTGTTGCAGTCCTTCAGCAGCAATGTTAGCATTTCACCGTTCAATAATCTTAACCCAAAGTTCTGTCTGTGAGACAGAACTTTATACATGAGGACAAATGGGCTACAAACAATAGAAAACTGTTAGGGCCTCCCACAGGAGATCGATCTCCCCTGCAATCTACTCTGTCTTTGTCATTCACACCAATCAGTTTCTATGGGTTCACGCCTTTACAGACACAGATAGAGTTGATTAAATCTAAGGCACAGACACAATGTAAATGAATCTGATGACTGAAAATACAAAATCTTTCAACTACAATAGTCACTTCACCTGGGACAGCCAATTTGTTTTTTTCAAGTATTCCATTCATAGATTATGCTGGTCAGTGGTTGGTTGGTTGCTTTTATTTGTACCCATAGGTAAATTAAGTTCCAGAGAACAAGTTTAGGCAATTTCTCAAACATATAGACGATAACACCAAACACCATACAAACAGAACAAGACACTGAAATCGCACTACAATAATTAATAAGTATAATCAGTGCACTGTAAAGCCAAGAGAAAGCAGGTCAAAGCAAAGCCAAACTTTGCCCTAGTTCTCAAATATGGTCTATACAGACTGCGTTTCATTTACTGTAGCTTAAAGACAATATATGTTGCCTAACTATGCTGTTTCTAACAACATTATTCACCTTAAACAAAAAACAGTTATTTTGACCAAATTTATTAGCTCTATAAACTTTCTCTATTTAATTGTACATTCAATTTAATTCAACATTTTATATAGTTTAGCTTGCTGCAATGATGTGTACGTTTGATAATGTCTGAAACACCTAGGAGTGTCTGAGTTCAGTTTGTTTATATATATAAGAAACAAGTATTGTTTACTTGCTCTGCCCTGGGACATAGAAAGAACAAACATGTATGTCAATTCTTATAAAGGAGTGACATTCCTCTTCAATTGATAGAAAGGTTTAGCTAGTAATTACATTTTTGTAGACTGTCCCACATTGTAAACCTGTGATGTTGACATGAATTCTGACATATTTTTTGAACAGAAGAGACCGTTATGTCCATGTTGGAGGCCATAGGAAAACCTATGGCCATTTGCAGTGAGGAAGAAATGGAGGAGGACAAGGAGGAAGAGCAACACATTGAGCAAAGACATAGGGATGATGAGGGAGTGGAGGAAAAAGAAAGGAAAGTTTACAAAGTTTTAGGAAGGCTAACAGCGCAAGGAAAGAGCTACCAGGTAGATGAAGATGAGTTGAGGAGGAGGGTCAAAGGAGAAAACATGTCCACAAACATGTTCCGAATGTTGATAAGGGTTTGTATTTCTATTATATGCATACATTTAAGTATAAAAGAAGATAGAAAGTCATTTGTAGTTTGCCACTCTGCCCCTCATGGCTATTGATAGGCATGGTACAGTGATGTTTAGAAAGCCCTGCTCTCATGCTTTGCATCTGTGACACTGTACTTGTTCATACATAGGTTGGCAAAAAAGATGTTCCACCCAATGTGCTGCAGCAGCCTAGAAAGGCAAAGACAAAGCTGACAATATTCAGCACTTTAACAGAGGGAGAGGCAGAAGACCTAGCCAAGGGGTTTGGCACGGCACTGGCCAAACATGTCCCGAAAGAGAAACTACTTGCTGGAATACCCGAAGAGGACATGCCAGCAACACTGTAAGTGTGTCTGTGTAAGTCCCCTACCTGTATGTGGTGTCTTGTCTTAGAATATCTTGATGTCTACACCCTCATTTTATTTATACACGCCGAATCACTACTTTCTGGTCTCTGACTGTATATGTAATTCTATGCTACACTGACTCCATATCACACAAGCCCTTTCACACAGCGCATTGATCCCGGGAAATTGCCAAAGTGCCTCCTGTGTGAACGCAAACACGACCCGGGATTGATCCCAGGTTGGGGACCTAGTAACATTGCCGGTATCAGTCCCGGAATGCGCTCTGTGTGAACAAAATCCATAATCAATGCCGTAAGATGCGTCTCGTAGTGATGACGCTGAAGCTGGGATCGTTCGCCAGCTAGTGAAACAGTACTTAATGCGCTAGTTTATGATCGAATCAGAGAAAAAAATGCACTAGCGAGAGAAATCGCAGCTCATAAGCAAACTTAAGACGCTGGAGACATTACATGTCACATCGATATCACGTGTCTTTACGGGTTGATTCCGGAAAAAACCTGGCAGTGTGAATGAACCAAAATCAAACAATCCCGGGTCACATTATCCGTGTATTTTTCGGAATCTATGTGTGAAAGGGGCTATATAGTGTATCCAGTCGTTAAGTCTGACGTCACACGTGACGTTTAGCCTCTTCCGGGTCCAAGCACAATAACAATAGCAGAACGTGTTAATTTATTTACGATCACGTCCTCCTTTAGTGAGGCACCCTTGCCGGTGAAAGTTTATTCATTCGTTTAAGATTTTTAACTTGCCTTATCAACTGCAGCCATTTCCTCTTCACTTTCTCAGCACAGGGAAAGCAAAAGTAAAATGACAGTTGAATGTCACTTGCTTTTTTAAACGATCTATTTAAACAACATGGGACACAGCACTGCAGCATGGTAAAACTCGGCGAAAGCGATAGGTAGGTAGAGAGGACCCGGAAACAGTATTATCAGAGAGTGGTTATGTCACTTAACAACCAGATAGGATTGCTGGCCTCTGAGGTCATATTAGGAAATTATGGTAGCAGCGTGGATCAGGACAGATCTTAAAGTACAAATGTAGGGTGCATTGACGTTCTAGTACTGTTCGGTTGACAGAAAATAAAATCTTCTTGGAGATTATTTTCCCTCTGTTAAACTTAATTGGCCTAATATGCATTTTATTCTAACATTACCATTGTACAAACTTTTTCAGCCTGCTGTCTAGTCCCTGTATCAAGAGGTCAATTAATCAAAATGAGAATGATAATGTCATGCATATTGCAATTCCATATTATCCTCAAGTCTAGGTCACCTTCCTTCATTTATATAGCGCTTTTAACAATATGGGGCTTGGCTATGATGCAACAGAGTAACAATTCCGAGTAGTAACATGAACATTTTAATTTATTTACAGGAGGAGCATTGAACAAATGAAAAGTAATGTGGAAAACCTTGGTCCTGAATCTGAGCTGGATTTGGCCACCCACCGCTTTGGGCCTACAGCAGCTGAGGTTTTCTTTTCCTTTTTAGAGGACTCGATGAAATGAACAGTACCCATGTTCCTGCACACATGTTCTAATGTGGCTGTTATCAGCTTATTTCTAAACAAAAAAGAAAAGTTCATTACTTTATTTGATATTTGACAAGGCTTTTATTTTCATAGTCAATTGTTTTATAGTAACTTTTACTAGATTACTGGAGGACTCATAGTGGAGAACAAGTACAATGTTTGATAAAATGGCAAAACTGCATTTGAATAAAAAGTACTTTTCAAACCTTATTTGTATTATCTTTTTGGACCACTGATTGCTTTGTGTTTTCTTCTTGATTTAATAGGAAAACTTGATGTGACATCTGTCCTCGTCTCTGAGGCAGTGTTTCTGTCAGTCTTTCTTTTTCGGTTTGCAAATAGTGGGCGTATTTTACGTGACTTGTCCTCATCACAAAGTCGCACAAATCTTTTAAAGTTTATATTTTCTTCCTTTGTTTGCACTTCTAGTTCATTGACTTTATGGGCAATGTCCTCAGGAATTCTCTCCCAGGTCTGTAAAGTCTTCAATATGCTTTCCAGTTTCCTGATAGTTGTACTACGCCTATCTTCATCTGCAATTTCATTCTGTATAGGCTCCACTGAAATGTTAATTGCATGTTTTGATGTTGTCTCATTCATCTCATTTAAAAGTCCCTTTGCAAGTAGTAGACAAGCACATTTTTTATGATATGAGAAAGTACAGCAGTCACATAAATTCGTCACTATACATGGTTTTGATACTGCTCTTCCAAATAAGCTTTCAACCTCTAGTGTTTTTTGAGGCTTTGTAGAAATGCTATACTTATTCTTTTGTATCAAGTTGTTGGCATGGGCTTGCAGTTGTGTGTCCATATCTGGAAAGGTCTCACCATCCCCACAAGTGAGAAGACTTAATAAAATGAGATGCTTACATGTATGTCCCCTTGTACCAGCGAGACAATTGCAGAACTGCTCTGCAGGGCATACACAGTAAACTACATGTGGATTATTTTCAGATGGAACATTGTATACGTATGTTTCTGTTGAAGCTGCAGTAACTGCTGTGGCCCAACCATTGTCTAGCATCCTCTGAGCGGACTTCTTTATTTCTTCCATTTTACATTCCAGAGGGTTATGGACCCTCCCAGCAGACTGCAAATCCTGTATTATGTTAAAGTACGTGTCAGTCTTGTTTAGTAGCACATCAATCAAATGATCCAATCTACGATTCCGGATGCCACAGAGGAATTGGTATTTTAAACGGTGGAAGAAGCTATAAAGGAAATGAAAGCAGAGAGATCAGTATGTTGAATGAGGAACAGCAACAGGTTTGAAAAAATACAATGTACTCTTTAACAAATTAAAAAATACGCAAAACACCGTGCTAGCTTTCAGTTAGCCCACTAATAAATGAGGTGAACATGCATAAAAACGTATACCGTTCTATTAGATTGTTTGTTTCTGAGTCTCCATGCTTATAACATCTTCCGAAGTTAGACCACAGACGACCAATTGGCTCCCAGTGGTTCCTAAAGTACTTGCAGACATCTTTTAAGTTCTTAAACTGGCAGTGAAACATCTCAGCTTTTTTCTTGAATTCATGTTCCTGTAAAAATGGACAAGGAAAATGATGTTGTTTTATGTTATTAGTGTAAGAACTGAATTTATAGGTCATAAAGGTAATCCTCGACATAGACCTCAACCCTAGTGTGTGCAGTTAGTGTACTGAGAATGTCATGTTCTTGACTGATTATACTACAGCCATTTAGGCCTATATGAATGATAATAGAATAAACAAACATACTGATTCTATTTGCAGTAAATAAAACAATGATCCACCTCAAAGTATAGGCTGAAATAATTTATGTTTGTATATTATAACATAAAAAATGCAAGGGTACTTATGTAAACTTTTGAACGGGGTCATAATCATAAATTTAGCTATTGTTTTCTGTTGAGGACTTTATGTAAATATCTGTTAAGTGAAATATCTTATTCAGGACAGAACTAAAATAAAAAAATGTATGATCCTGTAATATAAGATACCCCATTCAATCTCGGAATTAAACTTCGTAGGTGGTAATATCGTGCACCTTGCACGAAAACTGGCCAAAAAGCTAACAGGATTTAATGGTCCAGAGGTCACATATAAAGTGTGGCAAATCTTTTATACTATTTTTTTGGTTTTCTTGGATCTACGCTCTGCAAGAAGTTGTTTATTCATCTGTTCGCTTTTCCATTCTTTCTTTTTCCCTCTTATTCTGTTAAAATAATAACATTTTGTAGATACTGACCACACATTGCTTGCTACCATTGAGAAAAAAACAAAAACACTACAAGCTATAATTGCTCTATAAAACAAATGAAAAGTAACACACCGTGGAACAGGATTTCAGCTCCGACATTAACTGCATGATGTGTGCTCTCGAATCTGCCTTTTCAGGTCCACTCACTCCAGATTCAGATCTTGACAGCCAACGAGTTACTGCCTGCGTGTAATAAATGGTGGGGAAATATAAAATGATGTATTTAAACTGGTGAGACCTTCAAATAGTCTAATGCATTTGTACACAATTGTTGCTGCCATCAATTGATCGCAATAATACTAGCCAGTTACAGTGAACTCGAACCACATTAAAAATGTAAATATGTTATTGCTTTAGCAATCCCATATGTTTATAATTCCAACAATACATTAAAATTATATGGCAAAAAAATACCAGTTTACAATATCAAGTAGCATTAACAGGCTGTTTTGTACAGCTACAAATAACTAGAAGTGGATGACACAAGAAGTCTTGCAGCTTTAAGTTACAAACGACTGTTTAAGATTTACAACAAAATGACCTTCATTTTTAGGCCATTCATATTATTCTCACTAAACCTTACATGTCATCTAGTAACCAAAAAATGTAACTGTTGTTTTTGATTGAAATTTTAGCACAACAATAATAGATTTATATTGCAAAATAAGCAAAAATCAAAGCAGTCTCCATTCAATCTTAACTTAGTACTTACTTGGGTTACATGGTACCAACAAAGGAGAACATGTGACTCGTTGAATACCTTACGGATAGCATTGATTTCAGCCTGGTCTTTATCAACCATAAAGCACCTAATGAAAATAAGGTAACACTTTACAATAAGGTTCATTAGTTAACATGGAGATAACACCTACTGTAGGCTAATCATAGAATGCAGTTAAGAAATCAATACAAGTTTGTTCTGGTTCATAGAAGAAAAAAAATTAAGTTGAATTCATAAATTGAATAATGAACCTAATATAAAGGCATGCATAAGAAGTTTAATTTTAAGGAACTGTGTACCAAAACGTTATGTAATAATATTCATTTAATTTGTTTACCGGTATATCTATTTGTATTACCTTGGAGCTACAGGAAATGTTGGTTTCAGCTTTTCCAGTGCCAGCTGAAGCATGGCCTGCTTTTCATTTCCCAAGATGATATAGGCAATGGGTATGCCATGACCATGACTGTCCCTGACAACTAATGTAAATAAAGGAAAGCCATACTGGTTGACGCCATGTGTTGCATCCATAAAAACAATATCTCTTCCATATTCTTGAAGGCTGTCTCTCATGGATGGTGTTTGTAGAACTATGACTAGATCTGTTTGTGGACTGTAAGGCTGATAAAAAATAACACTGTCTCTGAAAGCGCCCTCAAGAAGTTGTGTTGTACTATTGGCATCATCTTTGTGTTGCTGATTTTTTCGCATCATACATGTCCGAATATTTTCAATGTCTTTTGGGGTAACAAAATATGCTCGGTTGTTGAGATCAGTATGCCCTTGTTCCTTTGACCATTCGTGTGATTTTAAGAGAATTGTACCTGGCTTAACACCAAGAGATATTAAATCTTGAATATGCTTGACCAGCTCTTGACTAATTTTTTCTGAGTGACCCTCAGAAGAACTTGTTGGGTCATGTCCTGAATGAATCCTGTAAATCCTTTCAACTATAACAAGTTTGTTGAGCCAGTCTGTCCTCTTTTTAAAGGAAACATAGGCCTTACATCCTTTGGCCCTTCGACTTCGGGGTGTGCATGTTCCAGAGCGTTTACATGTAAACAAGAAATATCCATTTTTCTGATTTTGCAGACTTGCAGAATTCACACTCCTGAAGTTGGCATCTTTGGACGCATTTATGGTAGAGAGCCTTTCTTGAATAAATTCAAAAGCATCCAAATCCTTTTCTAAAACATGGACTGTTATATCGGTCTCTTTTTTGTTTCCTTTAAATCTCTCCTCTTTGTATACAGATGTCTTTATAAATTCCTCCATATTTGATGTTCAACCTAAAAAGAAAAGACACAAAAAATTAGGCTAAAAACATAAATAATGTAAAGACCTAAAAATCCATGATAATCTCATGAAAGTACTGTAAGCTATTTGTTTAAACATTGGAGTAAAACCAAGATGTTACGTACAAGTTAACATTCATATGATGGTCTGAGGACAACATCATGTAACAGAATAAATCAGTGATGACTTGAGGTTAACATATTAATATGATGGTCTGAGGACAACATCATGTAACAATAAATCAGTGATAACTTGAGGTTAACATATTAATATGATGGTCTGAGGACAACATCATGTAACAATAAATCAGTGATAACTTGAGGTTAACATATTAATATGATGGTCTGAGGACAACATCATGTAACAGAATAAATCAGTGATAACTTGAGGTCAACATATTAATATGATGGTCTGAGGACAACATCATGTAACAGAATAAATCAGTGATAACTTGAGGTTAACATATTAATATGATGGTCTGAGGACAACATCATGTAACAATAAATCAGTGATGACTTGAGGTCAACATATTAATATGATGGTCTGAGGACAACATCATGTAACAGAATAAATCAGTGATGACTTGAAGTCAACATATTAATATGATGGTCTGAGGACAACATCATGTAACAGAATAAATCAGTGATGACTTGAGGTTAACATATTAATATGATGGTCTGAGGACAACATCATGTAACAGAATAAATCAGTGATGACTTGAGGTTAACATATTAATATGATGGTCTGAGGACAACATCATGTAACAGAATAAATCAGTGATGACTTGAGGTCAACATATTAATATGATGGTCTGAGGACAACATCATGTAACAGAATAAATCAGAGACGACTTGAGGTTAACATATTAATATGATGGTCTGAGGACAACATCATGTAACAGAATAAATCAGTGATGACTTGAGGTTAACATATTAATATGATGGTCTGAGGACAACATCATGTAACAGAATAAATCAGTGATGACTTGAGGTTAACATATTAATATGATGGTCTGAGGACAACATCATGTAACAGAATAAATCAGTGATGACTTGAGGTTAACATATTAATATGATGGTCTGAGGACAACATCATGTAACAGAATAAATCAGTGATGACTTGAGGTTAACATATTAATATGATGGTCTGAGGACAACATCATGTAACAGAATAAATCAGTGATGACTTGAGGTTAACATATTAATATGATGGTCTAAGGACAACATCATGTAACAGAATAAATCAGTGATGACTTGAGGTTAACATATTAATATGATGGTCTGAGGACAACATCAGAAATAAGCTAATTCAAACGTTTCTCCCTGAGTCGTCTTTTTTTTGTAGCTAGGCACACTATAAAAACTATACGTTAAACATCTAAACAGTATTTTCATCTTCTATTGTTTTTATTTTTTGAGCCAGAACGTCAGCGATGCTGATCAATTTTGCCTGGCAATTTTACTGTTAAGCACGTCAACATATGCGTTATAGCGTTATATTACTTCAATGGTGGAAAAATGCTAACGTTATTCAAAAAACAAATATGTTTAGTCATAGTAAAAGACTGCTGTTAATTAATAGGAGAATGTAAAAAGCCGTTGGTCTTACCTTGTAACTTGTGCACTTGTTGGCAGGGGTGTGTTTTTTTTTTTTTTTTTTTTTTTAAATTTGGCGGACTCGATGGGGGGCACACGGTGATGACATCATAAACGTTGATTGGCTGAGGCAGTTGTTGTCCCAGGGTCATCATAAAGATATTGGTCTCAGGACAGCTCCCACTTGGCAAAATCAGGACGAGCGCAGTATTTCGTGGTGTATTAGAATAAAATACTTGATAATTTAACAGCTTATATAATATCAACTATTATTCACTATTTTATTTATTGGTGTAAGACAGTATATTGAGGTGTATTAGATTAAAATGCTTATACTTGATAATTTAACATCTTGTTTAAAATAATACGTACTAGTATTCACTATATTATATGTTTTATTTGTGTAAGACAGTATATTGTGGATAATTTAACATTTTATTTCAAATAAAATGAACTATTATTCACTATTTTATGTTTATTTATCTGTGTAAGGCAGTATTTCGAGGTGTATTACATTAAAATACTTGATAATTTAACAGCTTATTTCGTATAATATCAACTATTATTCAGTTTATTTAACTGTGTACTACAGTATATTGTGGATGATTTAACATCATATTTCAAATAATACGAACTATTATTCACTATTTTATTTATCGGTGTAATACAGTATATTGTGGTGTATTAGATTAAAATACCTATACTTGATAGTTTAACATCTAATTCGTTATCTTATTTCATTTAATCACTATTTATTTGTTTATACACCATCAATGCTTTTTCTTTCTGAAAACCTAATTTGTAACATTTCATCTGTTCAGGAAGATTTAAGAGTCTGTGACTTTAACCAGATAGACGCATAACGATCGCCTCATTAAGTTTAACACATGTATAAAACTTACTTTTAAATACTTAATAAACTTAAAGCTGCAGTCCGGCGTTTTTCCTCTTTGTCGCCATCTCTGTTTGAAACCTGTAATTGCAGTTATTCGCGGAATTATTAACTTTGCGTGAGTTGTACATCGGCATGAAACAGCGCAGATGAACACACTGTTTTGAGGAGACTGCACGTCTGTCAGTCACCGCGACGGTGTGGATACTGACAAGTAGTCAAAGTGCTATGAAATAAACGGTTTATGAACTGAATCCCTGTTATGCATAAACGTGTTTTACATAATATAACTCTAATAATTTTTGGGAAAAGGATCATTTTCACTTTACCGATCTGATTCAAATCCAATGCTTGACAATGGAGGAGGCGGGTTTGGTTTTCTTGGAGTAGAGGTGATTTGCTCCCTCTCATAGCTAGCACAAAAAAATTCATATTTACCATAATAGCAAAACGAAAAAAAGCCACAACAAAGGAAACTCCGTAACTGTGTGAATTAAGCGAACAAGTGTGCTACTGTTACACGATTGAACTATTGAAATGTCTTACCTGTCCAACAGAAAAAAGCCGTTTCTGCGTCCGTTTTGAACCCCTTCAAATCACGGAGTTCACGCCACCTTTCAAAAGCCCTGCCCATGTTAATCCTTGTTTTCGCGTGGGCCCGGTTGCAATCTCTTTTTCTCTACCCATTCCGAATTCTCTTGGGTTTTACCACGGGTGAATCTCCAGTTGTCACTGGTGGTTGTCGTTTGAACCTTTCTGGATCCGCCATGAGTTTAATTATTTGAAGAGCTGTGAGAAAAGGCTAAAAGCTTCCAACTCCAACACCCGCTCACGCAATATAGCCTACTTACCGGGACTCCTTCTTTATGTGTACAGATGTGATGTAATGACGCAAAGACATGCTTGAATTTCCCGCGGAAATCCACCAGTACCACTGGAATTAAAATCATTATTACAAGCTTACCGTTTTGAAGCGAGCTAAGGTAAGCAGATATTTTTTAACACTGGCTGGTTATGTTTTTTTTAATTATTATTATTTTGGATAATTTTTAACCCAAAAAAGTTACGGACAGCAGCTTTAAAATCTTATTTAATTTATTTATAAGCTTTATTTGTCATCAAATTTCTTTCTATTTCTATTTCAAATTTATATTTCTTTAAACTCTTTTTCATTCTCTCCCACAGTTATGGACGATGCTGATCCATCCGAAAATCATATCCGTGTCAGACCTCTTCACGTTCATAATTTCAGCGTTCTGTGAACATTATCCTGATATAATAAAGAGATTCCCCTGAAAAACATTCCTTCCAATCGCACCAAGCAGATTGCAGGGTCGTAAACACACATCATAAACACACCGGAACCAAGCAGGACCAAAAGGTCATAAAACCCCCATAAATGGCATATCCTGTCATAAACCCCTCCCCATCCTCATATCCTGTCATAAAACAGCTGTCAAAACCATCAATCAAGGGGGTCATAAATCATTGACATAAGCTAAAGTATAATTACTACTCAGGCAGTATTTTATGGCCCCATCCCCTGACCCACAACCCGGACAATGCAGCTCTAGCCAGGACAAGGGCACACATTTAAATTGACCATGGGCAACTAAAGGGAATATTTCAGTGACTGAAAAGTGAAATGAAATTAAAATACAAATATATATATATATATATATATATATATATATATATATATATATATATATATATATATATTACTGTAATAAGTGATAGAAACTTTTAACATGATCCCCACTATGGCATTTAATTTGTTTGCTTCTTTTTGCCAGCCCTATCTCCTGGCTTTTACAGACTTTGATGTGTTCCCTGGCGTTTTCATTACACATTCAAATTCCGCATCTGTTGCGAAGAAAAACTGAGCACGCTCTTTGGCCACGGTGAGCAGCGTTGCTGATCAATGTTTCTACTATCGATACGTATCCCCTTTTAAACCAGCGCATGCACGCGCAATTATCTCAGATAACTCAATCCAGCTATACTAATAATAACCGGCTGGTGTGTTCGAAGAACCTAATTAGCCAGATCATGATTAGGCCGAATATATCATCTTGGATGTCTCATTTGATCTCGGATGTTTTAAGCAACGTACGAAGAACGGGCCCCAGGTCTTAATAGATCTAAGATTGACAGTATGCATTAAGAATTACTTAACTGTTTCAATATCTAATAATTATCAAATTGGATACAATAAAATTTCCTGGTCTGCAATATTCTGTCTAAATTTAAGCTGCCTTCAGTTGATTACATTACTAAGTTGATTATAAGGTCTAAGCCTTCTACTTGTTTACTTGATCCTTTATCCACTGTCTTGGTTAAGTCCTGCATTCATTCAATTGGCCCTATTATTACAGCTATAGTGAGTTCTACCAGAAAGACT